TCTGGAATAATCTAATATTTTACTTTCAACATGACTAAATGCTATATGTGGTTTTAGTTTCATGGAGTCTGGAATAATCTAGTATTTTACTTTCAGCAAGACTATCGGCAACGTGTGGTTTTAGTTCAATGGAGTCTGGAATAATCTAGTATTTTACTTTCAGCATGACTATCGGCTACATGTGCTTTTAGTTCCATGGAGTCTGGAATAATCTAATATTTTACTTTCAACATGACTAAATGCTATATGTGGTTTTAGCTGAAAGTAAAATACTAGATTATTCCAGACTCCATGAATATGACTATCGGCTACATGTGGTTTTAGTTCAATCTTAAATTGAATATTTTCTTCAGTGCTTTCTAAATAGCACCACTCATTTTTATTCTGTACCGATAAAAATACACATTTAATAGGCTTAGCGTTTCAGAAGTCAACAGATCTTATTTGAAGTGTTTTATTACCAAATAACATTTTAATCGCTGGTTTTTCTTGTTATGCACAAAGCTACATAATGGAATAACTGCGATCTTCTCAGCACGGGTATCGAAACCGGAATTGTGGCGTTGTAAGCTTCCAGACTTACCGCTGAGCCACTGGAGACGTAACGTTTTCTTTCAACGTGTTCTTTAAAGCGATTGCTCTCTTTTTGTTATTGTTCTTATTGTCTGTTTTCGTGAAAAAAAAATTTTTTTACCAGTTTCACTGATATTCATTTTCGTTACCTGTTCTTTTAATGGTTCTAAGTACTTATGAATATATTACAATATGGTATCTTTATCCGACATATTAAATTTACCTTTGTTGATTTCTCTGCTTCCAATTGGCCGTTATTCTTGATGACGTCAGAAGATACTGACGTTTCTTCTTTACCGATCTCCTTAACATAAACATTACATTTGCAGACGCGTTTCATCATGATGTTGCCACTGTCGTCCATCTTGAATTTAACCCCCTGGTAGTGAAGAAAATAAGCAAATATTATATCTATATTTTAAATCATATTTTAAAAGTTCTTGCTAATTTATGATTGGTTGGTTGCTGTGAAATACAAAGCTGCACAATTAACTTTCTGCGTTCTGCCCACAACAGGTATCGAAACCCGATTTTTAGCATCGTAAACTTGCATACGTACCACTGTGCTCCTGGGTGGGATTTATTCTAAAGTTTAGATATGTAATTTACCAATTCTCTTTCATATTAAAATGATGTTGTAAATCAACGAATTCCATAACATCTACAGTACTTGTGTGTGTGTGTGTGTGTGTGTAAGAGCGCGCGCTTGGTGTATGAATTTCAATTACTTCATATTTATGTCCATAGACAGAACTTAATTTTTAATTTAAAAAATTGACAAAAGAAAATTATCCACTGAGTTTTGAAATTAGCATTTTAAGTCTGAGCTGTGAAACCTGTTCCATCACATAGTTGTAAAAGGTACTTATACACAGATAGATACATATACGTAGGTAGATACATATACATAGGTAGATACATATACATATAGGTAGATACATATACGTAGATACATATATATATATAGGTAGATACATATATATATATAGGTAGGTAGATACATATATTTATAGGTAGATACATATACATAGGTAGATATATATATATAGGTAGATACATATATTTAGGTAGATACATATATATAGGGTAGATACATATACA